GAATATGTTGACAAAGAGAACATTTAGATTCTTTTGCTGAAATTGATATGTCAGCGTGTGAAAATTATCTTGTTGAAAAGATTGCATGTATACAATTTGGGAAGTCTAAAAAAGCTTAGTTTCCACTTTAATTAATTCATTGTGATATTCGTGGTCCAATAAATGTGAGTGCAAGGTCTGATTCTACATACTTCATTATTATTAGTGATTTCACTCGCTTTAGTTATGTATATTTTATTTCTCATAAATTTGAAGCACTTAAGAGATTTAAAAGACATATGAATGAAGTTGAAAATCAATTAGATAAAAGTATAAATGCTATAAGAACCAATTGAGGACATGAATATTTGTCAAAAAAAATGAATAATTACATATTGAAAAGGATATTATCAGACAGTTAACTACTTCTTCTACACCTCAACAAAATGGTGTAACTAAAAGAAGGAATAGAACATTATTGGATATGACTAGTTCAATAATGATGCATGCAAATTTGTCTATCGCTTTTAGGGAGATGTATTATTAATTGCAGCTTACATATTGAATAATCTACTCTCTAAATTAGTATCTTCAACTCCTTATGAACTTTGAACTAAAAATAAAATAAACCTGAATGATTTACGACTTTGGGATTGCTCTGTATATATTAAATATAGTCTTGGTGAATTTGATAAACTAAGTCTAAAAGAAAAGAAATATGTCTTTATAAGACACTCAAAAGACTCCGAAGGATATTTATTTATTGACGAATTGGGAGGATGAAAGTATTGCCGAAATTATATCGTGAGATGTCAGAATTTTTAAAAATAATTTTTCCAAAAAGAATGAAATAGATGAAGGTGGATCTCTCTATAAAATGTTAAATTCAGAAGATGAGATAATGCCCTAATGCATACTTGATAGCTCAAATTATCAAGAAATGATTCATAGTCCAAGTGGAAGTTATGAATCCCAAATTCATATGGAGAAATTAAAACTTCAATTACACAAGAAAAAGGTGTACATAAATAATCTTATGAGATTGATGATTATGTTTTCTTGGTATCTCCTATATAATTGGATGAACCCAATTTTGTAATCGGGACTTAATTAAACCACAAAAGAATGAAGGTTAAAAGTGATGAAAAAAGAATTAGAGAATGAAGGTTAAAAGTGATGAAAAAAGAATTAAACTCTATGAAAACCAACAAACTCCGGTATCTAGTTAACCATCCTAGAAACATAAAGCTTGAGAATAAAATGATTCTCAAAGTTAAATCCAAATTGAATGGATCAATAGAAATACATAAAGCACAATTGGTGGAAAAAAGTTTTAATCAAGAAGTTGGAATAAACTATGAGAAAAAAATTTCAACGGTTGTGAAGTTTACCTACATATGATTACTTTTAGGTATTGTAGCACGTTTAGATCTAGAATTACGCCTAATGGATATGAAGACTTTTTTCTCAATGGAGAATTAAATGAGAAAATTTACATCAAACAACCAACAGGTTTCGTTGTTAAAGGTCAAGAAAAGAAAATTTTTAAATTGAAAAGATCAATTTATGGTCTAAAACGATCTTTAAGGCAGTGAGATTTCATAAGGAGGTGATGTCATTTTATTTCACCATGATCAATGAAGACCATTGTATTTATGTGAAAAAATCCAACGAAAATTTTGTAATTTTATCTTTACGTAACAATATTTTATTAGCTGAAAATAATTTGAAGTATGTAAACACTGTCAAGTCACGACTTTTAGAATCTTTCAAATATTAATGATATTGGTGAAACACACTATATATTGGGTGTTAAGATCCAAAAAGATCGTTCCAAAAAACTTTTGAGTTTATCTCAAGAAACCTATATAAGGAAAATATTGGAATGCTTGCGAATGACTAATTTCAAATACATGAATATTCCTATATTCCTATAGCAAGGGGTGAAACTTTAATCCTTGAAATGAGTCCAAAGACTGAAAATGAAAAGACATGTCCCGAGTTTCATATTCTAGTATTGTTGGGAGTTTGATGTATGCTATGATGTGTACTCATCAAAATATGTTTTTATACCATGAGCTGGTTAACAGGTGTCAATTCAACCATGGAAGAGATCATTGAAAAACAATTAAGACAATATTCTGATACATGAAGGGAACTGCAGATCATTCACTATATTATAGTGGATATGATTTATTCAAAAGAGGTTATATGGATGTTGATTGGGCTAGTGACCTGTGTGACAGATAATCAAACCCGAGTTATGCTTTCTTACTTAGTAGTGGTGCTATTTCATGGAAACATAAGAAACAAACTTGAGAAACTCTTCAAACTATGAAATGTGAATTCATAGCTTATGCATTTGCAGTACAAGAAGTTGTTTGGTTAATTAGATTTTTCGAGCATTTGAATATTGCAAATAATTCTAAGGGTCACATGATTCTATATTACAACTTAAGCATCCACGAAGGACCCTAAGTATTACATCAAAATCAAACACATTGATATCAAGTATAACTTTATAAGAGACATAGTAGCAAGTGGTGAAATAAATTTGAACTCGTGAAATGATAGTTGATTCTTTTATGAAAGCGATATCTAGAGACTTGTTAGAGAAACATATCAAGGCCCTTGGTTTGCGGAGAATATAATAATACTCATGCATTGTAAATTAACTTGATAGTTATAATATTATCACCGATATATGACTATTTTGAATTTATATCAATATCTCATATGCATGTGATAATGATTTTAGAAATAAAGTTTTGTCGAACAGGTTACGAGATTTACTCTCTCACATGAGCAATCACCTCTTACGTTGAAGAACGTGAAGAAAGAAGTTTCACCACCATATTATGACTTGTTTGTTAGCCAAATAAGAGTCTCTCTAGGAAGATGAATTTGAGGATCATTGAAGACAAAAACTCGGGTTAGACATATATAGGTATCCAAATCAAGATTTGTACGATATTTGAATGATTAAAACATTGAGACACATGCACACTAATATAAGGTGAGAACAATTGTAGCATGTATTTCATACTACGCTTGTTAAGTGATCAATGAGTTAATGAAAGAATGGTTTCCTGCTTCTTCATTTTGAGACCCTAAAAGATTAAATTAAATTTTCATTGAAATACCCTTTGACCTTTTGTTGCTTCTTGAAGTTTTGATCGGTATTGCTACTTCAGCATGTTACAAACAACGATAAGTGATTCGGTAACGCAATGCATGCCTAGATAAGCAGTTGATATGGAACAAATAGATTCGAGCAGAAAGGGAGGATGATTAAATGAAAATTTTAACTTACACACAAGCAGACTATTACACTCGAATGTAATTATGCATATAAAGTTAAACATGAACTCAAGTTCACCCCTTCAAGAAGATGAGAGATCGAATAAGTAACTAGTAAAGTAGTGGATAATGTCTGTGGTATTGTGAGTAATAGTATTCTCATAATACTAGTGAATTCTTTTCACATGTGATTGAATTCCTATGTAAGGCAAGGCAAGCCTTGATGCTCATAAATCGCATGAACTATTTAGCATATGAATTATGTGTCTAGTTGATGTCATATTAGCTGGGGTCTTGTCCATCATATGCGAAGTGAGGGATGTAAATTTGAGTCTTGAGTCACCCATGTGGACTGATGTGATTCGAAATTATTTTTCTGGAAAAAAAATAAGCACCAATTTAAAAAGGGTGGAAAGAGTTACAAAATAACATCTCCACCATATAAAGATATCCCTTCTTAAATGAGTGTTGAACGCTTCTAAAAAAAAGAAAGTGAAGAACACAAAAATAAAAGAAAAGTAATAACAATTAAATCTTCATGAATCATTGACCTCAAGACATCCAAGAAAAAGGACAGTGTGTGAAGCATTATCTTTGTTTCCTAGTGATGCAAAGAAGGATTTCGAATAAATTATTCAATTCATATATTTCATTTCGGTGCAACAATTAAAGATACGCAGCATGCTCACACAGACACACGCACACATGCGTGCACACACACAGATATTACATATATTATAAAATTAAACATGTTTTTTTATTTTTTGAGGTATGAACTAGGTATTATAATAAAGAAAAACAATTCTAAACAACAAACATTTAGCACTAAATAGGATCACTTAGCCACATTTTTAATATTTACAAAAAATAACTATATTTTAGTTTTCTATGAGACGAGTTTATATACTCCTCAAATGTATCTTAAAAGAATACAAATAATAAAAAACCAATTAGAGAAAATCAGGGAAGAAAATATTTCAAAAGGTTAAAATGCTGAAATTTCTCATTATTTGTGTTACAAAGAGCAGGAGTCTCAAAATAGGTGATTCTCTTCCTTCTTCCTCAAATTCAATAATTCATCATCATTTTTGTTGGAAATTTAAAGGTCACTATCTGTGAAATTTGTTTTTGAATACAAAATTAGAGAAGCAATTCATCATTGGAGCAGGACAATTCAATTGGAAAATTAAGCCCAGTGAAATGCATGATTCGCAGACAATTCAGATTTGATCTTCGAGCTTTAATTGATCATATATTTTGTCAAATTTTTTGTTGAATTTACTTATGACAGAGCATGAATAAGTTTAGGATATGAATTTATTCAATTGACAGTTTTATTTTATAATTCAATTTGTTTTGAATACAACAATTGAAAGATTGAATGTACATTTATTTAGAATAAAATTTAGATGATGTGATTCAAATTGTATATTCAACACAATACACTTTCGAATACAATTAAGCTTCAAAATACATTATTACTTAAAATGTAATTTGTTTGGGATACATACAATGAATTATTGAATGTTCTTGAATTTTGTATATTGAATGATTGAAATACATATTTATTTAGAATACAACTTAGCTCATATGATACAAATTGAACCTTGAATATTAATATATTTTGAAGTACAATACAAATAAAAAATACATGTTTTTCGATGTATTTGTCATAGAATTTTGAATATTACTATGATTGTAAATTTGTATGTTTAGTGGATGATTAGAATACAATTTTATTGAAATACAATTTAGATATGGACAACGTTAGTTTTTTTCTGGTCATGCATTTGGGAAGATGGGATGAAATAATTACAGCTATTATGATGAAAAAGTATGCAACATTTAGAGATTTAGTGGAGGAAGTTGTTAAAATAATTAGTGTTGATTTGACATACAATTGTATGAAGTTGAAGTATAAGATCGAAGTTAGCAATGCACCATTGAAAATACACAACGAGGTGAGTGTAAGAGTGTATGTGTGTTAAAGAAAGATAGCAGGATTGTCAAAGTATCCCCTACGTGTAACTGTATTTGTGAAGGATTGTGAATTGTTTGATAGAAATCTTCAGGAACAAGGGGTAGGTATGTGTGGATTAGATGCAGATAATACATCTGATAAAACAAACATTAGTGCTTAGTGCGTCATTCGTGAGCGATGTGATCAGCTGCGAAAAGAAAAGGTAATGGTAGATCAAGTTTATAAAGACAAGGCAACAACAAAGGCTGTGATGACACACTGCCATTGAACAGAGATTTCAGTGGAAATGTTTGTGCTTTCGTCATCCGGTAGCTATGGCGGCAGAAAGAATAGATCATACTCATCACATATATGTGCATCCTTCATAGCAGGCTACAGTATACTAAACCCAGTCCAATTGAAAGGATTTGAGAATTATGGGCAATGGCGTAGTCCAACGCTAATTGCATAGCAGGCTAAGAGGAAAGTAGGGCTTGTTGCAGGTGCGTATAAGAAGGATTCATTTTGTGAGGAACATCATGAACATTGGGAAACTTGCAGTGCTTTGGTTCTATCTTGGATCATGAATACAATTTGCAAATGCTCAACAAGGAGAATGCAAATAAGGGAACTACTGCAGTCTGCAGCTGCAACCAACACAACAGGTACCATTACAGCCTTAAATGTTAATGATGTGTTGAATAGGTGGATAGTGGATATGGGGTAAACACATGGCATCAGGCCTAGCTATTTTGTACACTGCTTGTGAACAACGACATCAAAAGGTACACTTGCCTAATGAGACTAATGTTTCCATCACACATTGGTATTTGTAGGCTATTATTATAGGGAGATTTACAAAATGTATTGTGTGTTCGACATTTTAAACATAATCTTCTATCTATTTCCAAGTTGACGAGGGAACTTAGATGTTGTATGACATTCTTCCCTCACTTCTGTTTGATGCAGGACCTTCTCACTGTGCCTCAACTTCAGCTTCAATTGTCGTCACCAAGCCTGATGCGGAGCTATGGCACAAGAGGATTGGAAAGATTCCAGTAGAGCTCTACAATAAATGTCCCTCATAAAATCAACTAGTCTTGATAAGAACCTCTCTTGTTCTATTTTTCCACTTGCAAAGCAAACAAGACTTTCTTTCACTGTTAATGTCAGTAGAGCTAGTAATCCTTTTGATTTAGTCCATGGAGATGTTTTAGGTCCTTAAAAAACTCCCACATATGATGTGAATATAGTTTTTCTTACAATAGTAGATGATTATAGTAGGATGACTTGGTTGTTCTTATTGAAACTCGATAGTGATGTTAATACTGTAGTAAAAAAGTTCTTGTTGCTAATAAAAATCAGCTTGCTATTTGTCAAAGTTTTCATAAGTGATGATAAAACTAAGTTCCTTAATGCACACTATGAAGATTTACTCAAGTCTGTAGGAGTTGTTCTACAGAGCTCATGTGTTCACACATTCCAATAGAATGGGATGGTTGAACGAAAATATAGACAAATGCTTGAGGTGGAAAGATCTCTTAGATTCCAAGATCACATACCCTTGAGATTCTGGGGGTTATGCGTTCAGAAGGCAGTATATTTCATCAATGGAATACCTTTCAGGACCTTGCTAAACAATCACCTTTTGAAGTTCTCTATTGAAGAGAGTCAAATGTACAGTACCTAAGATTCTAGGTAGCTTATGTTATGCAACTATCACCCAGGATACTGGTGACAAGTTTGGACTCGGGACTGAGAAAGCAGTTCATTTAGGCTATTCTAGCACACCGAAAGGTTACCTTCTTTATGGCATTGAGAGGAAGCAATTGTTTGTTAATAGATATGTTGTATTTAAGGAAGGTGTCTTTTCTTTCCAAACAATGTCTGGCTCAGATTCATCTACTGACTCTCATTTGCAGGTATTAAATTTTCATAGCATCATTGTTTCAAACGCTACTTATTCTCTCAGACATAGTAGGGGAAGTTGGACCACAACATCCAGGTTCACCTCCTATATTAGCTCCACCAGAACCTATGGAACCTAGGAGTACCAATAGAGTGCCCAAGCCTCCGAATCGGTTGCATGATTTTGTCCATACACCTCTACCTTCTAATATAGAATCAAGATCCAATGCTTGTCTATATCCCTGGTCTGTATGCATCGTTAGCTACATCGTATTACCATTCCATCTGCTATTATTCAGCAATTAAAGAGTCTACATGTCATATTGAAGCCATGAAGGACACACACCTGTTAGCTGCCACATTGAAGCCATGAAGGACACACACCTGTTAGCTGCCACGAAGTAGGAACTTCAAGCTCTCACCAATAACAAAACTTGGTGTTTGGTTGATATGCCTACTGATAAAAAGGTTATTGGCTGTAAGTGGGTCTTCTAGGTGGAAGTATAATGCAGAAAGAGAAGTGGAAAGATACAAGGATAAGCTAGTGGAAAAGGGATATATAAAATACTTTCATAGTCACTCTTTAAGTTTTGGCTTTGTGACTTCAGACTTTTTTATCAACTCCATCGAATGAAAAACCACATGGTCAGAAACAGGAGGATAAAAAAGACATCATATTATCATTACTCAATAACAAAGAGATCAAAAACCAGTACAAACATCTTACTATTATCAAGAGAACCATTTCGACATGCTCCAATTAAAAAAAGGAGAAGCCAAGTAAAAGGGAAGAGTAGACTCTCGCTATTGCTCAGGCTCACATATATACCAGAGCTTCCACATAAACTATGTACAAGACCAGATGTACAAGACCAGATATACCCAGCAGTAGCAAGTAAATATTTGACATTCCCTATACTAATATTTAAGTTCCTCCAGACTGCAATAGTCTTATAACACAACAAAGCATAATATATAGCTGTACAAATGTAACCTCTTCAACATCATTTACCACAAACTTTAAAATCATCTACCAGAAGTAGCATATGCTTCTTTCTCTGTATCCCGTTTGGCCGTCTGTGAGCTAGTTGACGTAATGGGGAGAGGAAGAGGAAGTGGTAGAGGGGACTCTATATTTGGAGTAGTTCTATCCCGAACTTCCTTTTGTGAGGTAACGAGGATGGGTTCTTCTTCTGTTTTTGGAGTGTAATTAAAGGAAAGATCCTTGTTAGCTGCCAATGCAAGTAGCTCTTTCTCCTCAAGCCCTTTGGGTGACCCAATGGTGCAACGATCTGTACCATACTTCGCCAATGCATCTCTGAATTTTTTGATCTGTTCCATAGTATACAACACTAATATTAGACTACAGTTTCAACAAAGATAACAAATACAAATAAATAAGTGCAAAGCCAATACTAGCATTGATTTTACAACATTCACAGCGAATTTAACTCGGTATATTGCAGATCACTGCATCACATTACTTGATCCAAGAATAGTATCTTGAAGAAGATCTATCAATTGAAAGTGTTGATTGTGGATAAAACTTAAGGACAGACCTAAACAAGAAAAGTGAGATCAAATGACTTCCACTGAATTCGAAGAAAGCATTGCCAGCTAATGGAATCCATCGTTAACATTCTTATCCAAAAACACGATACATTGCTATGGCAAAGCTAAAGCAAAAGCAGGTAATAGGTGCATAAAGAACTAACCGTGGCATTGGTACAGCTAAAGCTGCAAACACGGCCTTCAGCTCCTCTATAGAAACGGAAAAACGGGAGAACATGTACATTAAGAGAGTAACACATCGACTTGTGTTCCTCATAGTTCACCTGTAAAAACTGCACATCTGGATTCATCTCTGCCAGCTGACACAACTGTATTTACCAATTCAACAAAATTTGTTCAAAACTAATAGAAACAGTTTACAGATCATACATTCACATTCAAAAACATTCTTAAACAAAGAAAAGGACTGTTTTTTTAACCTTGGGGTGAAGAGCTTTACAACCTCCACAGCCAGGAGAAAAGAAATCAACAACAACTAATTTATCCCCTGCACTCAATAGAGAGTCAACAAGTTCTTGTGCACTGTTCACTTCTTTCATGTTAGGTTGAACCCCTTTCTCCCACCATTTCTGTGCTTTCTTGATTCCAACACTCATCTGTAAGCACAGAGAACACCAGTTAAAAAAATTACAACAAAAATGAACTAAGGCCAATATCAAGCAAATGAACAATAATAAACAAAGTTAGATTTGACCCCAAATACGATCCAAAATTACTCATATACAAGATCTTCAACCACAAACCCTCAAAAATAAAACAAAAAAAAGTCAAAAACAAACCTGAGCAGTGATATCAGCAACTCTTCGGTTGAAATTGGATAAGCCTTCATTTATAACCAATCTACGACCATAAAAATCGGTTCTTGGCAAACAAGAAGAAGAAAGCTTCAACGAAGGAAGACAAGAAAGATTGACCGATTTATTGGGAAAAGAACAGATCCCATGTAGATTAAGACGAAGACGATCATAAATTTCACCACAATCAGAAGAAGAAGAAGGAAAGATAAAACCTTTGCTCATCAATTTCGTCATGACTTTCCTTTTCAAACGATCTCAAATTCTCAATCAAACACCTCAACATAAAAAAAAAAATTGCGATCGACCCTGATGAAGAAACTGGAAATCTGAAAAAGGGTTACTCTCCTTTTCTTTCTTCAGTTCTTAGTTTATCTTGTTAATGGAGATTTCAAGAGTGAAGTAAAAGGGAAAAAGGCAAGATACAAAGGGACAGGTGGATGAAATTTGTGAATAATTAATTATATAGTAATCTTTTTAGAAGGTACTATTTGCTTTATCATAATCCAAAGGTTCAGATTGTTTTAGATTTGAAATAGATCAGGACCAGAAAAAAAAAGGAACAGATATTTGGATAATGGATAAAATACGGTTTCGATTATGCATTGTCCAATATAAGGATAAAATAATATTCTTTTCATTTCTATTTTTATTTTTGAAAAGAAATACTTTACCAGTAGTATTTGACCCTAGATTTAAAAATATTATTTATTGAACTTCAAATATTTTCAAACACATTAAAAATGAACTTTCTACATGCAAAAGTTTAAATTTGTTTCTAAGTAATATGAATGTTTACATATTATTTTAAATTATAATGATTATAATTTTCAAAATTTAAAATTTTCAAGTTTTAACGTTAAAATCTATAGATTATAATATTTTATTATTTTAGTTAGAGTATCAAATTAATTGTTATCATATATGTTTGAGATTGTATAAAAAATTAATTAATTAAATTTAAATTTTTAATCAATATTATATCTTTTTAGGAGGCTAAAATCTTTAATTGTTATTTTTTTCCTTTTTATAATTTTGCAAGAATATTGTTGTTATTTTTTCTAACTTTACAACCTAATATGTAAAATAATATACAATATAAACATAAAATAAATTATATTATTATATAAAAATAGAAAATGAAATTTTCAAAATGAAATTTAATCAAATTTATGAAATATGTTAATTAATTAATAAGAAATATATTGATAAACAAATAAATAAATTTATATATATATATATATATATATATGAAAAGAATATTTTAGTCTCGAAAAAATAATTTTTTGTTCTACTTCTATTTTTTAAAAGCATTAAATTTTTTATTTCTTCCCAATAGTAAAAAAATTTATTTTCTACTTTCATTTAAAAATAATTTTATTGATTTGTCAATCAAATTCATTGCTATTGGGTAAAATGTCAAGATTGTGATTTCACACTAGTTATAATTATGTAAAAGAAAAAAGGGATAAATATACCTTAAAATATCGTAAATGGTATTGATGTATTTTTCATCGTATTTTTGAAATATTGCCTCGATCATCCAAAATATAAAGTATATATGTCCATCGTTCTAACCAAAGATTAAAAATTAAATATGTGTATACATTATGACACCTGTATGTCTATTAGTATAAAAGAGATATACATACTAATTCTTAGATAGTAAAGATATTAATATTCAAAGGTATGACTAAAGATATTTTCATAACATTCGTGATAATTAAGGGTATAGTTATTTATTTTTTCAAAGAAAATGATAGTAAATGGGTGGGTGGAGGGAGATTGTGTGTTTATGGCCACTTTTGTGAACTTCTTTGAATCTTTGTTCTTTGTGTGTTTTTTGGTTCAAATTATTTTCAACTTTATCGGTAAATTTTTAAATAAATTACTTATATTTAAATTTGATATCTTCGATTTATCATTATTTTTTTAAAAGAATTATTCAACCCAAACATTACTTGATTCTTTTTTCTTCTCATATTCATTTGAATGTTATTGTGATTTGTCTTTTTTTATTCATTGTTGTCCTCCTCATATAAGTCAACAAAAGTGTTCTGCAATTTGACTTCTCAATCACTTTTCTTATTTTAATTTCTTTGTCGAATAAGCATTTGTGTTTGCTAAGTATTGTTTGAGTATGAGATTTTATTTTGATAGATAATTTTATATTGATTTCACTTCGTGATTTGAAGTTATGAGATAGATTTTCAAATGCTTTAAAAGTCATAATTTGTTTGCTTCAAATTATAAATTATTTTTTAAAAATATAAAAAATTGACGCACAAATTTATATTTTATTAAAGAGAAAAGACTTAAATATGTAATTAAACTTTTAGAAAAGGCTCCTTTATTTCATCAGTTAAAAATTTGGCTCATTTATGTCATTACAGTTAAAGTAAATGCTCATTCATGCCATTATTTTTTAACAATGGTTTGCAAAACCATTTTTGACACATAACCAACTATAATTTGGCCACATCATCAACTTTTTTAATTAAAATAATCAGAAAGAAAAATAACTTAAGTTTTATTCAGAATTTTGATTTTTTTTAATTAAAAATTGATGACTTGACCAATTATAATTCGGTCACGTCATCAATTTATTTAATAAAAAATAAAAAAAAATTAATTCAATTTTTTCTCCAGAATTATAATTTTTTAATTAAAAAAATTGATGACATAGCAAACTTATAATTGGCCACTTGTCAAAAATGGTTTTACAAAATCACCGCTAAAAAGTAATGGCATGAATGAATCTTTTCCTTAACGGTGATGACATAAATGAGCCAAACTTTTAACTGATAACATAAATGACTTTATTCTGAAAGTTTAATAGCAGTTTGAGCGTTTTTCCTTTGTTAAAAGTAACACATTTAACTTATACATATATAGTAGTAGTTTATTTCATATGTAAATAAAATTTATAATTAATATAATTACGTTGTAAATCATTTATATCTCATATAACAATTATTCTCGTTAATATAAAATTTATTTCAATTTTAAATCTATTTTTAGTTAACAATTTATATTCTCCTCAGTCGTTTTATCAAATTTATTAGTACTTCATTTAAGTCAATGTTTAATAACAATAAAAATACCATCATTAGAAGAAAAATGGTTTAATATATCCTAAATTTGGTTATTTAAAATTATATACTACTCAGTATAAAAGTAGTTTTATATACTCTATGATCATATAAATGTCTCACATATATAGATAGATTGTTAATTAACTAATAATATACATATATATATATATATATATATATATATATATATATATATATATATATATAGTA